GGTAATTTTAATTTTAATTTTTGAAATTACATAATCACATATAAGCACACCTCTATACAATCACACTATAAGGCGATTCCGAAGGGTGTGATTGTAGAGAGGGTCGACTGTACAGCAAAAAACAAAATTACAGTTCATCAAACAATTTTAATATTAACAGTTTTGCTAACATTATTACTTCTATTTCTGAATTAAAATACGATCACACATTTCTTATGACCAAATCATATATACATAGCCGAAAATAGTCTAACTTTTTAATGCAATAATAATTATTTGTCAAATGTTTTTCTTCTTTAGTTAGGTAGCGATGGTAATTCTACTAGTAATTATTACTGGAATCTGATAGGATAACCCATTGGTCTGATTGAAGTTAGTTTACTAATAATGATTATTAGGCAACATTTTTTATTTTTTTTACTTTTGTATCTTTTTTTGGGATTTTCGTGTTTATTTTAACTAATTATAAAATTTCATAATAAATAAATGTATCACTGTATCTTTAAAAAAAAAGCTGATCTAAAATCAATGAATGTTAGCTCATTGGATTCATCTAGTCACAAATAAAGATGGTTCCTATAATTATTTTTAAAATTTTTAACTAGTTGCAACTTAAGTTGCAACACTTTGAATTGCAACTATTTATAAATTTTTATATTAAAATAAATTTACAAGGAGTTGCAACTTACTGAGTTGCAACTTCTTAATTATGGTATTCATCTTTAGTCACAAAGGATCAAATAGTAGTTATTTCATACAAATCAGAGCGATATTGACTGAGATTGTACATTTATTATTTTTTTTTTTTTGTTTTTTCTATATATAAAAAATCATATGATATGATGTCATTTTGACTATTTTGACTTTTTATTTCGACTTTAACCTCCAAAGTCAAAACATTTTAACTTTTGAGTTTTCATTTCAACATTATGTATAATCATAATATATTTATTATACAGTAGTTTTAAATGCAATTATAGTTGCTTGCCTTTAAAAGCTTATAACTCACTAATTACAAATGCTAGAAATATGATTTTATATTTGTATTCAATCCCAAAACATAACTAATATTCAGTAAAAATTTGATATATGATTATTAATGCCAATTTTACGCAATTTAGTGATTTATATCAAAAATTCTTACTTAATAAAATTTAAGTGTAAAAACATTTTTCAATGTGCTGATTACTCAAAAACTGATACTAGATTCTGATTCTTCTTAGTACCATAATTCTAATAATCTAAAATTCATTCAAACTAAATCAGTAAATCAGTAAAAATTGATAAAGAAAATTGCTACATATCATATAAAACATTTTTTTAAGTTTAACAATATGGTACTGCTAATGCTTTATTAGATTTCATATAAAATACAATTAAGTAAATTAAAAAAAATGAAAAATTAACTCCTTCTCATAATTATATTTAAAGTCTGTTTAAGTTAACTTAGCGTTGCTATTTTTCTTCGCTAAATTCACTTTACTCATGTAAAATGACTATTAGTTTCAAACAAAATATAGAGACTAAACTATAGTCAATACTACTTTGTTATCTCCTTTTTAAAGTAAATTTCTGAAAAAAACAAAAAAAAAGTAACACTTCAACTATTAGTACATATTTTTCAAAAAAGTAACTATGAAATTTGATTACTTACGCTAAAGAATTTACAAAAAAAAGCAACTTAAATATAACTTTATTTAGTTTCTAACTAAGTTATCTAGTTAATTCTAGATTATAGTGAACACCTAGTATAGGTTAGTATAAGTATGCTCATATCACAAAATTTTAATAGAGACTTTTCAAACTATCATTTCCAATGCTAAAGATGTCTGTCAATTCAGATTACAGCTGATCCTTGACATATGATGAGGTCCAAATCATACAGTTAGTTAAGTTCAGAAAATACTGCATAGGATTCTGCAATCTTTAATATCAGAGATCTGCAAAAAAGAGTGTTGTCATTTAAAAAGGGATGGGAAATGTCATTATGTGAATTTGTATATCTAAAGTAGATTAATTCTGATTGTCAGTTAAGATACCTCTTGATGTTCACTTTTATAGGCAAAATTTTGAGAAGATGAAAAATTAGAAAAAAAATATTAAAGAGAGGTAAAGAAAAAAAATTTTAACAAAAAATAATAAGGTTTAAACTTCAATAGCAATTTTTATACAAATAGGATTTGGGAAATAAAAATAAATATTTTGAAAAAGTTTATTTATTTTATTTACAGGTTAAGCTGCAGTTGTCATTAAATAGATACTTTTTAAAGTAAAAATTTTTTGATAAAATCCAATAAGGGGAGAGAAAGTTTATTTTCTCATATAAAAAAAATTTTTTTTAATGATGTAACACTATTAGTAACTTTATTAATTTATACAAAATATAGGAAAAAGTAAATCTTAAAAATTATAATTAAGTACTAGCTATAGGACCTTTATAATAAAAAGAAAGAAAACTACTTATTATTAATTATAATAATAATAATAACAATTATTGTTTTTTTAGATTTTATTATTTGATAGTTTTCTTCCTTTTTATTATAAAGGCCTTATATTATAGTATCAACAAAAATAAATCACAAATTTACTGTATCATCTAACATCTTATAAGTTATTTTTTGATAATAAAAAAGATATAAAAGTAAAGATAATGCTACAATTACTAAAAAATGTATTACAAATTATGTTACAATTAAATTTATTAATATCACAATTGTCATAATTAGATTGCAATTTAAATGAAATTTAAAAATAATTATAAGAATCATCTTTATATAGAAGTAAGTAAATATAATATGTAAATAACTCCTTAATCTTAAAATAAGTATAGAAGTAAATTAAGATATATATAACTTCTTAGTAATAAAAAAGTTGTAGAATTATGTAAATATGTAAAAATTTTCTTGAAAATTAAATAGATGTAGAAGCAAATTAAGATATGAACAGTTTTTTGAAAATAAAAAGATTATAGAACAAGGTAAACAGATAATAGATCCTTGTTGATAAAAGAAATATAAACAAGTAGAAAATAGAAGTAGTTAGATCAAAAAGTAAAGTGATAAAAAAGCATACTAATATAAAAATACAAATAGCAGAAAAGGTTTAAACAAATAGTTAGAATGTAAAAAAAAAATAGTAAAATATTATATCAATATACAAAAGGAAGCAGATAGGTTATATAAATAGATTATAAAGTAATAATTAAATTATAGATATTAGATCATAGAATAATAATTGGATTATAGAGTAATAATCAAATTATGATCATATTGATTAGGTTATAAATAATAAAGTTTATAGAGTGATATTATAACTCTTATAACTCAATTTAAGTAGTATGTATATCATTTATTTATTATGATAAGAAATTAAATGAATCAGAATTATATAAAGTAAGTATTTTAACAATAAGCAATATTATATTATTAAATGTAAAAAAAGAACAAAATATAATATTTTTAGATTATCAACTAATAAAGATTTATTAGCATATGGGAGGTTTGCTAGAAAAATGGGACTCTGAGCATTTTTTATTAAAATTTTAATTTTTATTGCATTTTAATCTAACATTATCAAAAATTAAAATGCAATAAAAAAATTTTAAAATTTTTTTAAATTTTTTTAATTTATTATTTACAATAGTCAAATCATTTATTTTGGCACTAATACCTTTCCAAGATTATGAGAAGAGTCAATTATGTCTTATGCTAATAAAGAAATATTAATATGGATTTTTGATCCTATTGATTTAGTTAATGATATTCTTAATATTTTGCAATTATATTCATGTATAAAGTTACGTCATATTATATTAACTAAATGGCTTACAGCTTGTATAACACGATGGTTGGCATCCACTATGAAATGATAGATAACCAATGATATGGGAATTTTGAAAAACTGCGGTCTATTATATTTAAAAATACCGGAAATTTTAAACCGAATCAAAGGCTTTCACCAGAATTTATCGTTCTCCAAAATTTAAGGGAAAATGACGGACAAAAATTTAGAAGTTGACGAGACCATTGCAAATAAAGAAGTTATCAATAAATATAAAATTGCTGCTGATGTTTCCAATCGTACGTGTTATATATTATAATGAGAGAAAGTGCGTGGCTATTGAAGTAAAATTTTAAGAATGCTACTATGGATTATTTTTTTTTTTTGTAATACAATGTATACATAGGCATTTATTAATAGTTTTTTAAGCTAGACTGATATATTTAAAAAAAATTGAGAAATATTTTTATTAATGAATTATTTAATCAAAGAAAAATTTTTTTAATGTTTTAGGTGTACTCAAAAAGGTGGTCGAATCCGCTTTGGATGGAACTAAGATCATCGATCTTTGTGCGATGGGAGATAAATTAATTGATGAAAATGTAAAACCTCTTTTCGTCAAAACCAAGAATATTATCAAAGGTGACTAAATTTACAGAACTTCACATTATAATATAAATGTATTAACGAAATCTTTTTCTATTTGTTTTCCAATTTTTTAGGTATTGCTTTCCCCACTTGTGTATCAGTGAATAATATCATCTGTCACTTTTCTCCATTACCGTCTGATGATGACGGTACAGAAAGTTTAAAGAATGGGGATTTAGTAAAAGTTCAATTGGGAGCACAAGTTGATGGTTACGCAGCTATTGTAGCCACCACATTTGTTGTTGGAGCATCCAAAGAAAATCCTGTTAAAGGCCCTTTGGCAGATTTATTGACAGCTGCTCACTTATCTTCTGAAGCCGCTTTAAGATTGATAAAACCTGGTTCGAAAAATACCGAAGTTACTGAAACAATACAGAAAATTGCTAAAGCTTTTAATATGAATTCCGTGGAAGGTTCGAATAAAACCAATTTTTCCCTTCTTATAAAGAGAAAATTTATATTAATATTTGAAATTTATTTCATTTTAGGAATGTTATCATATCAACAAGAAAAGAATAATATTGAAGGTAAGAAACAAATAATTCTCAATCCGAATGAAACCCAAAAACGCGAATTTTCGGAAGCAGATTTTGGTGTTAATGAAGTATACGGTGTTGATATATTAATCTCTACCGGTGAAGGGAAGGTACTTGTATTTATTAAGGAGATTTTCCTTGTATTTTAAAACTTAGGTTATTAATTTTTTTTCCTGCTTTTCTTTCATAGCCTAAACAGTCAGTCAAACGTACAACAGTTTATAAAAAAACTGATCACACATATTTATTGAAGATGAAAACTTCTCGTAATGTATACAATGAAATCAGTCACAACTTTGGAAGTTTTCCATTCTCTTTAAGAGCACTGGGCGATGAGAAAAAAGCCAGAATGGGAATAGTTGAATGTGTCAAACATGAATTAGTTAATAACTATGATGTCTATCAAGTAAAAGATGGTAATTGAAGAAAAGGATTTTTTTTTTTTTTTCAAATATATATCTTCCACAATCTTTTATTTTTTTAAAATATTTTTTATTTTTAATTATTTCATAGGAGAATTTGTCGCACAATTCTTTAATACAATTTTATTAACTGACAATGGGGTTACTAATAAGATTACGAGTACTTTATATGATCCTGAATCAGTTCAGAGTGACAAAAAATTGGAAGATAAAGATATTTTGCAATTATTATCTACTAGTGTTAACCCGCAAAAGAAGAAGAAGAAAAAGAAAGCAAATGCTTCCGCTGATGTTGATGTTGATGCTGAAGTTGAAAACAATGGTAATAATAATGATGCAGAAGAAAAAAAGACTTCAACTGAAGTTACAACTGAAGCAAGCGGTTAAGGATGTTATGATTTTTTTCTAAAGTGTATATTTTGAGAGTTATAGGAAAGTATTTATTGGGACATAATAATTTTTTTGAGGGAGTTATTATTGTATTTTATTAATGCAAATACATGTTATTTTGGAAATTAATTTGCATAAACAGAAGTTAATAAAAATGTGAATAATAAATCCCAAATATATATATATATTTTTTAAAATAAGTTACAAAAGTATTATATTATTACACCACAGATTAATAATATTCTTTAATCGTACCAATCTAAGAATAATAGAATGAAGCTTGCTATTATTAAAAAGGTGAGAACCCATTTCCTTGTGTCAGAAGCTCTTTGCCTAGCTTGCTGTAACATCACATTTCCTTCTTGTACTCTATCAGTAGTAGCAATAGCTTCTGCATATAATCTATCTGTTTGTTGTGTCTGAACTGCTAAATGATTTGAAAGAACTGATTGTAAATTGGAGATCTCTAATAATGCCTTCTCAGCTTGACTAAAAAAGATTATAATAATATCAGTATTATGAAGTTAAGAATTCCTTCAAATGATAACCTTACTTGACTTGTTCCAAAGACGTCGCTAATTCTTTCATCATTGTTTCGTTTTCCATTTCCAACATCATTTTTTGTTCAGTTGTCAAGTGTCGTTCAATATCATCATCATCATCTGTTACCATTGTACTTCCATTTAACTCGTCATCATGTTTTCCTGGTATATCTTTTTCCTCATTTATCATTGTTGGAAATGGTAATGGAGTAGAAGGTTTAATTGAAGCTGACTTGTACAATGTGCTATTATAAATTTTTAGACAAATTAAATAAAGGTTAAATGTAAAATGAGAAATTTTTGTATCAGAAATCTATTACCTTTCACGCTTTTCAATTTCTTTCATGATCCTTGTTTCCTGTTGATCTTTTTGTATCTTTGAAACTTCAGTTAACCGCTTATTTAAATACCATGTTATGCTACTGCGAATAGCTGGCAGCATATCATGTCCTTCGGTCGAAAAAGCTGTCGACAATATTTTATTCCATGTATTATTTATAGCTGAATTTTGCCGTTCTGTCAAAATAATAATTTTATTAATAAAAGAATAATAACTGAAATGAATTGAACAAATTTAACTCACTTTGTTCGGATTCTTCCAATTTCTTAATTCGATCTAAACATTGTTGTATAATCATTTTGGCCTGTAAGTCAATTTCATCTCGTTCTTTATCTGTTAAAGTTGTGGAAGGATTAAATTTCGAAAGTAAATTTTTATCATCATTACTATTAGAGATGGATAGGTTAAAATTCCCATTATAGCTAAAGTTTGAAGGAGTATAGTGTTGCGATGCTGTATTTAGGTAAACTTTTCGAATTGAAAGTAGAAAAGTCTTTAAATTATTGATATGAGAATCCTAATGTATAAAAAAATATGCAAACGCGAAAACAAAAAAGTTAATCTCGAAAATAAAAAAAAATAACAATATAGAAAATCTTTCACTTATTCTTACTATTCGATAAGCTTCTTTTAAAAATTCGTCTTGTTCTCCCCTAGTATTATTTTTAACTGGTGGTAATATATCATTTCGTTTGTTTTTCCCATTTTCTAAGGTGGATTTATTACTTATTTCAATAACTATTTTTCTAAAGTCTGAAGTTAGGTCAACCATCCTATTTTTTTTCTCTCGTTTTTTATTTGTATCAAGTGTAAATTTCTAAATAAAACAAATTCAACACGTGTCAATGGGATACAGTGATGACGAAACGTGATAATGATGGACAACCAGAGAAATTAACAGTTTATTCTTGTTAATTAAGATTCTGCATTCCCGCATAAGCTTGATATATCAATAAAAAGTAAATTATAACGCGGTTAAATAAAGATCTTTAGATCTGGCATGGGACTTTTAGGATCGTTTAGGACCGCTAATTTACTCATTACGGTATGAAAGTCTTTATAGGGTGCATTCACAATCTACGATTAAGATTTGATATTGATCCAATCCAAATGGATCAGCAAATCCAATCCTGTGAATTTATTTAATACGGATCGTACGACCACTTGTACAACCTTAAAATTAGTTCAACTTTTTTTTAATAAATACCCTGAAAATTCGTCGGAGAATCAAAATCAAATGAGTATTGATAAAACCGTATTAATCTTTTTTTTTCGTGTACTGGTAAATTACTTTTTTTGCTATGAGTCATCAATCAAGAGTTTATCAGATTCTATTTATTATTAGTCACGATGTATTCAAAAAGGTATATATACATCCTTAAACTTAAGCTTTCTCAACCTTTTTTCATTCTAAACTAAAATTGCTCTCACTTTTAAAAAAGAAATATCACCAGAATGGTTCTTTCGCTAAACTGTATTATTCTAGGTGACACTACTACATTCCCGATTGAACTTGGCAATCAAGTCATCATAGGTGATATGCAATATGATGTTGACGAATTCAGAATTTCAAACTTCAAGAAGTTTATCTGGTCAGAGAAAAAAGAAAGTAAACTTAGTGGTATTAATGATCCTGACTATTTGGTCCTTTGGAAGGTTGATGTCAAAAAAGACAAGATTGAAGGTATTTATACCACAGAGCACATAAAGAATAAACTCAATGGCAAGAAGATGGAAGAGGAGAATTTTATTCCTAATTATTTTGATGTTAAACAACGTCCTGATACGAACATTCATATTATCGTAGTCCATTCCATTGGTAAGTGTCTCCCAACGTTTTACCTCTCGAACAAGAAATTTGCAGTAACAAAATATCGATTTGGCCTGATCTCTTTTTTTCACAACTATTAGATCTTGAAAGAAAAAGGAAGACAGGTAAGAATGCGTAATATAAACCATTGTTATAGTTGCATTACCGTTTTGCTCTGTCATTTACCAATGTTTCTACTCACATTCATAGTCCAAGATATCAGCAGTTAAGTTCTTGATAACCTTCGGAAGAGACCTAGGACACTTCCAAATGTTGAATCTCTTAAAGTACTTGTTGATAAGGAAATCCCTGAAGAAATTAAGTTACCTCTCACTCAACGTGAGTTCGATACGTTATTATCAAGTGATATCAATGATATCTGCAGTTCAGATTAAAGATGGTACAGCAATTGATTTCAAATTTACAAAATGTTGCAACATAAGCTAAAATTAGTTGCAACAT